TGTCGTTTTTTATCAAAGCCTAAGCTATTACAATGCCTCAATATATGGATATATCACTACTATATTACGCATAACTTATTAACGAAATGAATTAGTGTTATGTTGGGGCTAGTGGGAATATAATAAATGTGATACATCAATATAACATCCTTGTGATTCCACCAGCTATGCACAAAGTTTAAGCTCACGACCTCATCTTCCTAGAGCTATGTACGCTCTAATGAATACATCGTTTTCTAGCTATGACGATCAAGTATGCTATTGGAAATGTTTGAGCAGCTCTACTTACTAAACTGATATACTTCATTACATGCCTCAAGCAGTATACTTAAGTATAATATAATTCTATCGGATAAGCTTAATTATACGATAACCAAGAATGCTGAACTAGGCAGGTGTCATTTGCACAGACATGATACTCAAAGTAGTTAAATGAAAATAAGTAAGCTCATAAAATAAAAACGCTAACTATAGGCCAGTAAAACTTACCCAATAGAAGACAAACGATATTAATATTTGTAATATCCCTATGAGTAGAAAAATTAGGTTCTCTGATGTTTCGTGGCTTAGTATAAGCCACTTCCTCAGAGAAAGAGTAACCAAATTTATCAATGTTGAGGTAATACGACGGAACAACATGAATATTATGTGATCAATCAAAAAACATACAATCAAAACATACATACACACAAGTTTACATACATGTTGCTAATGAATCACCTTGACCGAAATGACATGACGTCGATTTATTTAGACCTGTTTTTTGATAGATCACCTAATATTCGTGTTGTTCCGTTGTACTATTTGAACTTGGATTAATTTTAATTTGGTAATTTGTTCTCTGAAAACGTGGCTTAAACTAAGTCACAAAACGTCAGAAAACATAGTTTTTCCGCTCACTGGGATATTACAAACATACTATTTACTTATAACAATCTGTACAATGCTCAATATATTCGGAATTATCAAATCAACCTTGGTAATGATACCTACAAACGACATTGTTTTGAGACTGAAGACAACAGTTGCTTACTCACAAAAATATAGTTCACAGTACAACAAAACTTTCTCAAATAACATTATTCATTGATTATCAACTTGAAAAAAATCAATGATGTGATTAAACTTACTATGACTTAGGATACCATTCCAGCATGAAATGAACGTCCGGCGTAACTCAGTCGGACATGGCAAGTGAAAATTACGACCAGAGCAAAATTGACAGCGTAATCTAGTTCTTTAATAAAAAAATACATCATAATATAACACATTCTATGACTACCTGAACATATACATGACCGTTATTACACTAGGCGAAACACTAGGTCTACGTAGAATTGGTGGGTTTAAATCCATCCAGTTTCTGAAAAGCTCAGACCCAAAGTGGGCTCCTTTATTAGTCTTTATTGTAATAGGTGTACCAAAGTTGATCACTCAGTTCTGAATCGAAGCTTTGGCCAATATTTCCGTTATCAACTCAGCAAACTCGTGCATCTTTCTACTCATGTAAATGAATGATTAACATCGTCGGAACTCAGCAACAGACTTGTAAATTTATGGCACACTTTTTTATTAGTTCTGCTCTAATAGTATATATAGATTTGTCATGACGTAAATGCCTAATCTATAAGGTCTTACGTGGAAGTCACATCACCGTCTACACCAACTCTTTTCTCTGAAGATAGAACAATATATTTTATATGAATAAAATTTATAGGCTAACAAGAACGATCATGATTGCAAGACCAAGACATGCCATTCAATGAATTTGAATTCCCTATTCCCGACGCTCCCAACGTTGGTTTTTCTCCTCGTTGAGAACTGAATATATATTCTCCCAGTTGTTTCGTGTTTAGCTTCAAGGATTGTGTGGTTAGGGCCCAACGCCACTGCAAACTTTTTGAATCTGCATGAATGCTGGCGAAAAGTGCATCTGGTGTGAGAAAATTCAGATGGGTCAATTTATATGACGGTTAACCATTGACTGTTGGGAATAACAACAGTCTCTAATCCACCTGTGTAGATCTTTTCATGAAGTTAGCAATATATATGTAGTATTAATAAGATTAGTAGTAGGTTTTGTGCTAGTACGAGACAAAGTACGAAAATTATAAACTACCAATTTTCTCATGATTTTAGGCACGAAGAGTAATTATATTGTTTTAGTCGTATCACCATAGATCAAATTACCTGCATTGAGTGGTGGTGGTCGTTTCAGCTCTACAATAGAGTGCTTTATTGGGAGTGGAGTTTATAACCACTAATTTTCCTCCTGGTTGTGTCCTAAACCTCCAAAAGTTATAAACGATTGTTGTATTATATTCATATCAAATCTAGATGGTACATCTGTTACCCAATTAACCTTATTTTTGAAATGCCATATTTCACTAGTGAACTGAGATACACAGTAGACGTTTTGGATTTCGCGAGGAGAATATCAATCTGTTTAAGCTTTCGATCCATTTGTTTATGGTTTATGGACAATGGGAACAATGAATCGTCTGCCGCTCAGTATGTGTCTGAAATGTTTGATGGCTAAGTAAATGGTAGTAAGTCACCATCAAAAAGAGTGATATCCCATCTGTGCAGTGGCAAGTCTTTCCGAGAAAAGAGTAATAATGACGAAAGGAAACCAACTGCAGCTGTTAGTCGAGTTCCACTCCTGGGACTTCAAGTTATTCGTTACTGGTCTCCGGGGTCTTGCAGGTACAGGCACCCTTCCACTTCTGATAGTGAGTTACTTCTGGTCTCCTGTGGAACGGTGAAGATTTAGTTTAATCAAATTTGGTAAATCTTGTTACGTTGCAGTTGCTAACGTTGTGGTCTATTTCAAATTGAAAGGAATGATGTGACTTTATATATACCGAGTAACCGAAAATATTTTTAAGTGTCGAACCGCGTTTCTTTGTGTTGAATAGGAATGCATATCTCTAAAAAGTCCATTCCAAATATTACCAATTTTAGATTCTTTACAGTACCATGATCACTTTCTTGAATATTGCAATTTTAGTTCTGTTGGAAAATTGGCGACGTTTGCTGACTCATTTCAGTTTTTTACTAAGAGATGATACTAAGCAACGTACCAGTATCCACCAGATATTTAAACCAGTATTTTAGTCGCTTAGATGAGACATGAGATCGTTTTTGCTCCCCTCATTAATCTTCGCGACCTGCATAGTGGTTTTTGATGGAATTTAGTTCTCTGAGTTGGATGGTTTGGTCGTAGAGCTTTCATCGTTCTTCTGAACAACATCATCAGCATAAACTTTGGTTAGAAGTAAAGTGTTCGAATTTCTCCACATATGGTTCACAGCTTGTTCTGTAAATTTCGATGCTGATTGGTTCTTGTTTACCTTAAACCTGTTATTGTTTACCTCTTAGTTTTGATTGTATATCCTATTAATTTGATTTTTGTTCATAAGTTTGTACATAATTTTTCTGACTGGTTGATAAATTGGATCGATTTCAATGTGTTATTTTATTGTTGATTGACCTGAGTGTCTAGATATTAGAAATTCTCTGCTGTTTTTGAGATTTCCTCTGTCCAAAAACCCCACACTTTTCTAGTCGAATGTGTCTCCGCAGTTATCCACGTGGATTGATATAAGTGAGAGCATGTCATGGCGCTTGACTACTAATCGATGTTCATGCAGGCGCATAAGCAGCAACATTTCTGTTGCTCAGCCACGTTTTAGTTTGACATTGTGGCAGGGCTGGTCTTATATTTGTCAGTCAATTGGATCTCCATGCATAAGAATAACCTTTTCTAAAGTTTCGTAAGGTCCCGAAACATCACTAGTAAACATAATAAGTGTGATATACCTGTTGAAATCGCGCACTAGTGTCTTCGCTACTACGAGGAATTGTGTATGTGGGTCTGATCCGCCATGCTCGTGGAAGTCAGCTTCTGCGTAGCAGAACCTGTCTTCTATGTTATCGGGCCGAAATAGCACTAGATGAAATGAGGGAGGCGAAAGTCTTGATCTTAAGCATTCCAGGAGTCCATCCCGTCATGGTGAAAAAATGTTCTAGACTACCAAAAAAACTATCACAATATATAAAAAATAACAACCAAAAAATCATAAGTAGTGTTCAACCAAGAACAGACTCATAATCTAAGAAATGGTGTATCAGACCACGTTTGTCTCACCTCTAAAGATGCCACAAGTATTCGGAGTTCGGAAACGTCTTTACCAGCAAAACCTTTACATTCGAAGTACACCAACCCCGTCGAATCAGAAGTCGGAAATAAAGGCGTTTGAATATATATTTAGGTTATCGGTATGTCGAGGAAAGCTTGCTCTAAGCTGGCTAACAGTCGAAAGGGATGTATATCACAGCGTACACGGCCATAATCTGGTGTGGATACGTGACAAACCGCCTTCAGCTAGGCGGGTCCAGTAAAAGTAATGCAGTCAGCATCAAATGTCGAAGACTTACAGGAATATTTATTTCAGGGAATTATTAACCGCTACACTAGAAATCATTTCATGTAACATTGATGATAACGAATTAATGATGCATTAACTATAAAGTTCTGTCGGTTGAAACAATATTAGTGATTGTGAGTTCTTGTTATTTGGAAGCCAGTTGAGTTGGAGTCCTGACCTAATTTTATCGGAATAACTACTTCTAGGTCAATTCCCATGATTTAATCGAGTCGTGCATATGATATATGTCCCAATTCCAACAAATACAAACCACTACTGAGACACAATCATTTACCCTAAACTAAACCAATTATTTTGTCCCCTTGTTCCTCCGTATTTTGATCATACCTGAACGAGTAGACTCACCACGTGCCCGTACAATATCACATGATTACCCTCAAGAACGTATTTCGTTCTTTTATCATTTAAATGGTTGGATCTATCTTGAAACCAGAAAAGGTCTTGGGGTCGATAAACTAGTTCTTTATGTCTTGTGGTTTAGGTTTTGGTGTCCCGTAGTTTGATTTTGTCCTCGTTTAGATCGGAAGATGTTCGTTGAAGGGCTCACCATTTTAGTGGCCCGTTTGATCTGACTCCATTTTGATCGTATAAATGTTTGTTACCGCCTATTCTCGTACATAATCGTCGACTTAAATCGCGTTATCCAATAACGGAATTAAATAAGTGGAATAACGAGAATTGATTTGAGAATACATATATTTCGTACATGAAGTGAATGAAGCACAGCAAAGCAAAAATGACACGTATGGAAGATGGCTGGGAAGCCAACTCCCATTTAGTCAAGCGTTACTTAATATTTATAGTCAGACAAAAATAAACTACAAACACGTGATGAGTCATGGGAAATGAAGTGTACACACATATACGCTCATATATAAAAACAGTCAAGACTGATAAGTGAATAATTGACAAGGTCAAAATATGACTCAAGTAGAATGAATAGAATGGAATGTCCGAAAACTAGAATATAAGATACATGGGCTTAAAATAATGACTGACACTATAAGGTGTTAGCGTATTGTTTTAATGTGTTGGTTATTAAATGGCGGAATCGAGTGCAATGCTTTGTGACTATGATTCTTCATTGGTTAGTACAATTTTTACCATTAAGCTTTATAATCGTTGTCCTAACAGCAGTCTTCGGATGATGGGAGTGTTGAAGAGACAAGAAGGAGTTCAAAGAGCCCTTTGATATCCCAGGTAATACGCGTTCAAAATGCATAATAAAGTTGCTAAGTGAATAGTAACATTGAATATGAGTGGATATTTGATAACACTAGTTAATAGATAATACTTTCAGGACGAAAGTGATTTAGAATAGCTCTTGTTTGGTTTTTACTAGAAGTCCGGGTTTCATTGCTCAAAGATAATAGAACCATTTGGTTATTTGGTTCTCTCAACATTCCCTGTCTTATTCTTGCAGAGCAGTGTAATATATTTAGTAAAACAGGCTATTATCTAAGGTTTCCAAGGCATGACTCGTATTCGGCTTTGAAACGTATCGAGTGTAGCTGTCTCATAAAAGAGGCATGGTTTGTCCCGTGTTAAACACGTGACGTTTTCATTATTCTGAATTTCGAAACCAATTTACCAGACTAACAGTTATTGTTGCGGCATTTTCTGTCGTGCAAGTAGTGGCGTTTAATTTGATTTAGTTCATGACTCATGGTGACAGATCGATATCGTGAGAGTTCATTTACTAACCATAGGGAATGTAAACGTTTGTGGATCTGTCATTGTCGTTCGATTGGATTCTTTTTTCACCATTCAAATCGATTGCCAACAAGTTTCGAAATCGTGTTCGATACTTGTAGTATTTGCGCGTACATTTAGCAATACATTACAACTTCTTTGCTTTTATAACTTCACTCATTGCTCACAGTGAATAACAGTCCCTATGCCGTTCGGACCTTCGATGTTCAGTTCAGATGACTCTGGTGTCTGAATTCCGTTCTGCCAAGGCCTAATGGTGTCATAAGGACCACCGAAAGTTGTAGTTAATTAATTGGTGAGTCATTGCAATGGTGATTGTTTTTTAAACAAATTTCGAAGTGTGTTTTTAGTGTTTGTGAATTTAGGTCTGTATGATAGCTTGTTTCTTTTCTCAGGAGGAAACTAAGAATGCTGCTACAGTAAAAGATGGGGTTCAACTCACTATCGAAACAAAAAAGAACTCTTCTATGGTTGTATCTCCATCACCTAGCTACATTATTGATGGTAAACGTCGATCGAGGAGTCGTGGACATAGTCCTTCAAGGCGACACCGCAAACGAAGTTGTGCGCCCAGGTATGTCGTTAAAATATATCGCGAATAAAGTTAGTACGGTAAGATTCCTGACTAATTTCGAGTCTGCAGGTCACATAAGCTCTTTCTTTAACCTAGCCTGAACAGCCCTAGGCACCCAAATACTCTTATACGGCCGAGCGTGAGGAAAGTCTGTTCTCCCTCGAAATGCTCTCATACGACCACGTGTATATACCGGCTACCAGGAATACCCTATTTATTACATTCTAGCGGTGGGGGTATTCACAGAATTACTTGCGCCTGTCACTCAGTGGAGCATAGGCGTAAAGTGAAGCCTAACTCGATGTGATGGGTAAAAAGAACACACCTAGATTAGTTAAGAAATCCCAATTCCGAATCAATGGCGTATAAACGTATTATTGTCCACTGGCTCCATTGAGCCACATCTGACATCGCTTCACTGCCTTGTGGATAAGACCTCTAGACCTGAGGCTCAGGGAGTGGTCTCTTGAGAAAGCCACCTGCTTCGGTTTCGGCACCCATGCAGTATGCTAGCCTGCACAAGTCATTGGATTTGTGTAGTGCATATATATATATATTTGGGCGCTTGTTTATACCAGTGTTGGTATTAAAATGAATATTATTACTGAGTAGTTCGGTATGTCATAGTATGCATTACAGTCAGTCCATTAACTTTCACTTTATAATTTCGTGTACTTTTCTGTACTGATTTACAACAAACTCCATAAGATTTTTTGCCTTTATCACTGATTTCAATCCGGTTGGTTTGAATCTTACATACAACACGATTTACAGAAATGAAAATCGAAGGCAAGCAGTTTATTTCAGTCAGATTTCCTTACATAGTTTCCCTTAATAGTGTATTCAACCAGCCAAGAGAATTGCTTTCATTAGTTTGGTAGCAGAAAAGCACTCATGGCAAGATGGGAACTTTTAAAATAAGACATGCGGACTACCTTTCTTTTGAGTGTGGAACGGTCACGATCACTGATTTGGAAGACATACATTTACTGTTAAAATCATCCTATTAGATCTCATTAGTTGTCCGGTAGTCATTCTTAAAACTTACATTCTTGATCCGACTTCCGAATAAACGAAATGAAATCCAAAAACAACCAAAAAGCTAACTGTCCAACGGGACCCTAAGAAATATGATTGTGGGAGTGAATTAACTGATGTAGTTTACTCTAGTAGATCTTTTGGGATAGGAGGTCGTTTTTTTCATCAGTACTTCTCGCTGATTAACCATAAACGTAATTTCTAACCATAGTTCCGTGCAATTGAATAAATATTGATATAATGTTCGCGAAGCTTAGTCTACCAACTTTCTGTATTTACCGACAGTCCACAGGTGAACGACAACCATATTGTCGCAAATCCCATTTATTTTTAATTTTAATAAACGTCACGAGTGCTAGTGCTTTGCATCAGTTAATTTTTTATCTGTACACAAAATTCGCACTTCAATCGTTATTCGGTCTGTCACTGCACCCCGCGATTGTCGGTATTTTTCAAATTTATTAAATTAGTCGACATAACGAGGTGCTATTAATATCGAGGATTAGTGAAGTCTACTGACAAAATTAAAGTCGCACGCTACATAAGGTCCTAAAACATAAACACATTCAGACGCCCCACAGTAGTATTCCTCGACCTTAAGGCGGCATTTGACCCTGTTGATCGTGAGGTTCTATAGCAGTGTTCACCACTGAAAGGAGTACCAAAGAAGTACATTAACCTTATACAGGCTCTCTACTCGAACACAACTGGCCAGGTGAGAGCTTATGGCGAACTGTCATCAGAATGGATTACCTCAAGTGGTGTTCGTCAGGACTGTCCACTCTCTCTATTCTTGTTTGAATTTGTCGTTGACGTGCTTTTAGAGATAACACTTTCCTTATCTAAATTTCCAGCAGTTGAATCTCAGCACGGATACAGAAGGCTTAACTAGCTTTTGCCAACCTGCGTCATTTAAGGCGTAGGCGAGATATCCGTCTATCAACCAAAGGACGGGTTTACTGCGCAGCAGTTCGTTCCGTCTTACTTTATGGCAGTGAAACGGGGCCGGTAATAGTACAGGATATTATTAGGTTACTAGTATTCGATCATAGGTGTTTTCGAAGCATTGCTCGTATATCCTGGGACCACCGGGTAAGTAATGCAGTTGTTAGAAAACAGGTACTAGGTAAGGATGAAAAATCAATTGATGAAGTAGTGAAACTTGAGATGGTTGGGACACGTGTTACGTATGCCCAACCATCGATTGCCCCGGCGTGCGATGTTTTATGGTGTAGGAGTAGGTTGGAAGAAAGCTAGGAGCGGCTAGAACAAAACATGGCACAAATCCATGAAGTCACTGGCAAGTGAACTGAGACATGTTGGTAGGTGTAGGCTACCTGGTTGGGATCCGCAAGACGATAGCAACCAATGGTTAGAGACCTTGAATGACATGGCGCAGGTGCATCCGCTCTTTGTGCTTTCATTTCTAATCTTCTGAATTCTTCATGTCCTTTTTTCTCTTTCCGAATTTATTTCACTGGATTATACTCCTTGAATAACATCTTCAAACCCTAATCTTTCCGATTACTGCTTATACATTTACTACCTCTACCACTATGGGATTTGAATCGACAATTGTATCTGGGTTTTAATGTGGTATGGCAACTTGACTGATGTACGTACGTAGTACTACATTGTTGGTGACTGACTGAAAGTTGCACAAATATGGTAGAATTGGTGCACAGCAAACTAAAATCTATATCCATTACTTATCTCCTCATGTCTTTTGTTCAAGCGCAAAAGTTGGAATGTTACTTAATCACTTGAATGGGACGACTTATGAGACAACAGATCTAATAGTTGACCTATGTTACTGTCTTTTTATTTTCATGAACCTCATACTTTCGTAAATTCTATTCTGATGTTTAATTGGTTCAGATCTGATCGCGGAAGTCCAAGTGAACGTGTGAGCTCTTCAAAACACAAACGTTCATCCCACCATTCGAGGCACAAACATTCATCCAGAAAGCATCATCACCGTGATTCCCACTGTAGTGACTATAAACATCGTTATCGCCGAAAGCATCGACGCCACAGTTCAACTTCATCTACCAGTTCATCTAGTGATACTAGCCCTGAAAGCAAACCTAGTCGGCGTGGAAGTCATAATGGTAGAAATTCAACACAACTCCTCACAACAAGTTCCAAGGATTATTTCGTAAGTCTATCATGTATTATCTTCAAGAAATCTTCTTTGGGTACTTTAATTTAATATCCAGTAAACTTTATTTTTACCAATTGTCATCCCTAGCATAGTTATTGTTTTTGTGCTGTTAAGTGAAGCTCGAGTTTCAAGACTTGAATTGAAACTAATTGTTTGTAGTTACTAGTTGTTTCATTTTATGGACAACGCACAAAACATCAGCTTCTCTACATTCGTTCTTTTTTTATCTTATGTCAATTTATCATCTGCTTTCATAATCTCTTTCAGACTTCGCAACCGAAGCCAGAAAACCAGAACACTAACCTCATTATCTCAACGACGGGAGTCACCGTGACGACAAATTCTCCGGCAGTTTCTAGTCAAAGTACGAATCTTACTGTCTTAACCTATCAGTATTTCAGATCATAAAATTAGATTTTAGAATACAATTCATTAGCCACTGAGGAAAATGTTAATAGATATAAAAAAAGACTAAAACAAGGAAATACTTCTGGGGTAACTAGTTGTTCGAGGATTAAGATATTTCAGCTCAACATAAAAGGAAGGAATCATGGCATGTTCATTAGACGTCTAAAGCAAACACAATGTACTCACTAAATAATCTTATTTCCCGATATGATTAGAACCTCACAGTGGAACATCATTTTATGATGTACTTTACTTTTTAAAACTCGTCTAGTGACAGATTTACCATATTATTTTTCAACTCTGAAGCTATCGTAAAAATGTGATATTCACCGTAGATATTAATCCGCCGTAGTGTTTATTTATTTATTTTAACACATAGACATTGGTACAAGAAGGGACCAAATCTCATTTGATTTGTGTGAGGGCTGTGATACTACCCAGGTGCCCAAACCGAAGCAGGTGGTTTTCTTAGGGGGCCACACCCCGAGCCTTCGACCTGAAGGTCTGATCCACAAGGCAGTGGAGCATCGTAAGGAAATGCAGTCCCATGGAAGCCGGTGACTAACAATTGGTTCAGACGCCATTTATTCCCGCAGGATACTGGAGGCCATGTGCACCATTGGTTCGGGATCCGGTTAAAGCGCCGGACATTCGCTTTTCGTCCTCTCATTTTCGTAAACAACACCCCCGCCACGAAAAGGCAGTGAGTAGGACTTCCCTGGCAGAGGCTATATACGCGTGGCCATGTGAGAGCATTTCGAGAGGGAGAGAAGACTCTTCCCACTCTCGGCCGTACCAGGGCATTTGGGGGCCGTAGTGTGATAATACAAATAAAATTTTTATCATTGGACGGATCAAATTGGTAAATGCGGGCAATTAAGTGGCATAATTCTTTCAAAACCAAGAATGGTAAAACGTAAAGTCTCTAATTGCAGGTTTATGAATATAGTCAAACTGAAATCAATATATATGTAGTAGGTCAATATGAAATGACAGTTCTTTGTATATCGTGCTAAATGTTTGTCCATTTTGTTCAATATATCCATTTGAAAAACATCGTGGTTTCAATATCACGTCACACATGTCAAAAAACAAAGGTAACTGAAGTCAAAGATTTTACGAAGTCATTAAGATTTTATAAACTTGATCACTAGTATTTCATAAGATGCTATTCTTCCAAAATTTAATTATCTGGATGCTTTTTCGTCCAGGTACTACGACGAATGTTCCTGTGCAGCGGTTAACAGCTCAAGATATATTAGACAAAATACAAAAGCATCAACAAGAGCAAGCCAAGGCTCAAGCATTAGCCGCTGCCGCCGCCGCGAAGCTCCCGAAATACTACAACCCAACCACTGTCAATGCCGTCAAACTCGCGGAGCAACAACAAAAGCGCAAATTATTGTGGTCCAAAAAAGATGGTGAAAACACTAGTTCTGTAAGTAATAGTCTATTTTGGAAAATAAGGTTCATCTTTGGTGTTTACTAAATGTTCATTGCGAACTACAAAATCTTTATTTCTAACCTAGGAAAGTAAAACTCTTTGGACAGCCACATCTCTAATTGCTGGAAAAGGTGATTCTGCAGCTGCAGCTAAATTTCGGAAATTGATGGGAATTCATGATTCTTCTGAAGAAGTCGTGGACGGGAGTGCTGCTCATGTCAATGAAACTGAAGCTTTGCGTCGAGCTGAGGCGCAAGCTGAACTTTTCCGGCGACTGGAACACGAATATGAGATGTCTCGTACCATAACACATACTCAGCGAGGCGCCGGTCTTGGTTTCAGTTCATCCAGCCATATCGATTACAATGCATACTCTGCTATGCAAAGTGAAAAAGACAAAAACCCTAATTTATAATTGTATTTATCTCACTAGAAATCACTTGTACAGCTCACCGATATTTTAAAGAATAATTTACCTAATTATTTTCAAACAGTTCAGTCATTTTTACTTATCGTAAATAACCAACGATCAAAACTAAATGTATGAGGCTGATGAAGAAAACTAAACCTTAAGTAGGTACTTTGTTAAATGATGTCATATACGCAAACTTAGTGTAGCACCGCATATATTTCAGACAACTTAAAAGTAATATGGTTAAGAAGACTAAATTGACTGAGGTAAAGTGAAGTACAGTTGATAGTTTTTTTTAGTGTTAAAGAATCATTGCGGAATATAGCGCGGATATCTTATCAATTCAGACGTGAGACAGTAGCTGGACTGCTAAAGTATCCATACTTTCACCTGTTTGCTTGAAGGTTCCGACAACAATGCATTTAAAACTAAACAGCACGGTGGTACCATTAATTCTCACAGATATGTCAATTATGCTTAACATTTATCTATAGAAGTATTTAATTTATTTCCATCCTTTTTTAGGTTTCAAATAATTTCGTAAAGGAGTGGGTCCATAAAAACACCTTACTATTAAAGCATTAGAATTTCTTAATTAAAAGGTTTTCATGAGACTATAATCATCAACCGATAAGTTTGTCTTAGCTACGGATATTCCTGTAATTGGTCTAAATGCAGTTATCACGTAAAAGTGTTAGGCGGACAGTCGTATTTGCGGAGGGCTTTTAGTGGGAAAAGGTATTCACTGAATAGGAAGGACAGTTATTGCTATCACATAAGCACTGATCTGGTACGAATGACCACATTCGAGCTGGTCCTCAAGTGCTTAATTTTATCTTTCAATCGAACAAGTCACTTAGAATAATTAGATTCAAAATTTGGAATTAAGATCTTTCCAGTGTTGCCTACATAGTAAAAGGTAAACCTACCATCCATGCAACTAAGCTTAAACATTATGGTGTTTTTTTATCACAGAGCACCCGACCGTAGATGCTACTTTGACGTGTTGATCCAGCTTGCCTATCGTGATGAGTCAGCCGAGCTATACTGGCTGGAACATATGTTCCTGTAGGTTCTACCATGCCAGGCAGGTCGGTTGGAAAACAGTATGACAAAAAGCAGCAACTCAAGGTCTGAGGGCGAAGTCGTACTGCTGACTGTAGAGGGGTGTGACAGCAGTAAGGTGTTTTCTTCGGACAACCAACATCTGCAGTGACACTGCCTTCTCACAAGGAAGGAAGGGCTAGAAAAGGTCGAGCCGAAGAATGTCATACCTTACCTCACGGATTTCCGCCCCCGGTGACAAGGCCTTTTGAAGAACGGAGCTAAAACGTTAAAAACTCCCCACAAAAAGACCGTGCGTGACCGGCTTCAAGCAGTTGTCCCTTGGGCTCTGTGGTCACGCTCCCAGGTCGTTAAGACCAACATTAGCCCACCTTCCTTTTCAGGTTCCTCAAGAAATACCCTTCCACAGTGTGGGTAGCCGGAAAGTGACATCAGCCTTCATACCCGTAACAACGCACGAGACCAAGTTGGTCATGATCAAATCCTTCCCACACCTGATAACTTTCTTATTCTCACGTCTCCTTTAGGTACGCAAAGTATTTCCATTAAAACCCTTCTAAAGATATTTACTGACTAGTTGCTTGGATGCGGAACATATAAGTTCACATTTAAAAGCAACCATACTTCTTTAGATGTAACAAACGAGATCCGATGCGAGTTCATTAGGGGATGAGAAGATTTTGTCACAACTTCCCCCGCCAACGTTCCACTTTTGAACTGTTTACTTGAAGTTGAACTTTTATGGGTCACCAATACTATTTTCCTTTTCCATCTCTCACTTTTGTAATAACTGAATAGACTATCAGTTGCTCTTTGGTTTTTATCGTGATAAGTTTCCGAGATCTGCTGGCTTCCCCTAACCTTTTCGTTTAGGTTGCTTATAGAAGTCGCTACCGTCTTTCCAGCAAAAACCAAATCATACTAGATCAGCACATGATGAACATCCATTTTTTGGTCAGCTAGTTGCTTAAGCTAGTTCTTCCTTTACTGAGATAAACACTTGCGAGCCAAATTATGAGGGGTTATCTTATTAGTTTTTCTGTATTTAGTAAGTTGCGAATGAGTGCGCGCTCAAACTGAAGCTCGAGATCCAGATATGTACAACAGAAATAGTCGTAATTTCCCATCAACCTCCCCAAACGATGACCGAGAAGGGTAAGAGTCTTATTTCTATCGTCTAATTAATATCGAGATTTCCGAGGATGGTCAGCATCCGATTTTAAAAACATTGCCTGTTAAGAATAAATGGTTGCATTTGACAGTCAATATCAACGGAGTAAAACACAAATCGGAACATGAGCGTTGAGGCCACCCATCATAATTACACCTGAGCGTATAGCTTTCTGAAGGATGCCAGAAATCGTTCAGTAGAACTCACTGAAATTTTATCCAGAGACCTTACGAAATTACAGCTTAACGACATAGAAATACTAGGATCAAAACACTCATTTCATGCAGACAACTAGAATAATAAGTTGCAGACGGGAGTAATGATTATTCGTCATTTGTTTTTTACAGAATCATTTATTAAGGATGAAAGCTCTTCGAAAGTTCTAATTTCAGAACGATTATCTGATGATTTTATCTTCCATCTATAAGGGAATACATTTCGTATACGTTCATTAAAGTCGTTTCTATCCACTGGGTTTATAATGTACCACGTACATAAAAACAGTGCTCCCAGTGATGAGGTAGTTATAATTGTTGCTACTCCAAGAGCACGAGCAGCAAAATGTATACCAGATTCGTGCATAGTTTTGTCCTGATTAATTGCCTGTGAACAGTATAATTGAGAAAAATGACATAACATTAAAATTAGGTTGAAGAATTGGTGAACTTTTGAAAGTAGGCTTGATAGCTTGGACATTTGCAGCGATATATTGTTATTCACATAAGCAATAATGAATTTTATAGTTTGTACGCCAAGTGATTTCAAATCAGTTTAGTGGTTCAGGACCAGTTCACCCGTTAGATTTATGTATGTACCACGTGGTTTCGGTATGAAATGGGTTGAATAAATTCGGCACTGAAGCTATCAAGATTAACCCAGTTATATATCAATGCAGAAGAATCGCTTTACAGAACGGTTCCGCTGTCCCAAATATACTAAAACGATATTCCAAATCAACTTGATGCTCTTGTGTTTGCTATCCAAGCCCACATAGCTTATTGTAGCTTCCGGACAAGCAACTTATTCATTCGTCTTGGGTCACATTTTGACCTTGTCAATTATTCAGTTATCAATCTTTTCCATTTCTATGTAAGTGTATGTGTGTACATTTCTTATTTTACTCATCGCATCTCTGGAACTTATTTTTGTCTGAGTATAAGTATGCATTCACGATTGGTTAAATCGAGTTGGCTCAATTGCCTTCTCCGATCTGTTTCGCTTCGTTTCACCGATCGTTTTATTTGATCAACGATTATATGAATACACGTATTCGAAATTCATTCTTGTATTTGACTTGTTTTAATCCCGTTATTTACTGGCGTGAGTTAAGTTTATAATTATATACGAGGATTGGTGACATGTATATTCCAATAACAGTCATTCATATGATCCGAATGGAGTGAGATCTTGGACCACTAAAATCTACCAAACATAACAGCTAGGGAAATGCACATCTTTTGTTCTTTTCAACATGTGATACGATGACTAATACTTCAAACTTAAATATGAGTTATGTAGGCAGAAAAAAGATAGGTTTATCACGAGACTGCAGCACTCCATGAATATTTATCAAGTGAATGTAGTATATAAAATGATGATCCGTTAAAAGATAAAGCTACGTGAATGTAACGAGACTTATCATAAAAATAACTTGACAAAATAGCAAACGGTAGTCATGGTATGGTCCATTAGTTAAGAGACATGATATTGTTTATTCTTAACTTTTATCAAATAGATTAAAGTCAATTGTAATTAGAAAGATACACTAACTCGACTTTTTAAAAATCTCGATCTTAATGCCATTTCATAATTCTATTCTTTAACATCACTCATCTTTATTGAGCCAGTTCAAAAGTTCACAAAACACAGGCCAGTAGGAATGATCAGAGATTGATAATATTCATATCTGAATAAACTATAGGAATGGACAATCGTAGTGTGATAAAAAAGATAAGACAGCGAAATAACCAAGGTAAACTATCAAAAATTTTGAGAAAAATAAGAAAAAATCTTACTTGCATGAATGGTAATGGATTGACCTTCTTGAAAGATGATATTCTATATGTGAATCCTGCCATTAAAGACAGACCTGATATACCTATAAACGCACCAAAAACTATTTTTCTACTAATATAGCAAGATTTTCCTTACCAAGATAATTTGGTGGAATTTTTCGGCTTTTCTTATCCTCGTGTTCTTTCATAGCATCTGGTGTAATGAAATGCACGAGGTCGCTAAAACAGTAATAAATAACATTTAATTTAAGAAAAAACATATTTGAGAATGATAGAAAATAATCACTTTGTTAGACATTAACTATAACTAGAATATCAGTGCAAATCTATACAGGGCTTACATCAGTCAGTTATGTGCAATGTAGAACCTAGCATATTTGTGGAGGGACTCAAGTTGTCACAACATATCAGCACATAGAAGAGAAATTATCAAGAAAAATTCTAAAGTACTAAAAGTAGTAACATTGTATGTATTAGTAGAAAACATTTGGAACAGACTATATGATTCCAGAAGAATGAATGAATTCGCCGAGCAAAATGTATGGGATGATTAAGAATTCAAGATCTTAGGAAATGCAAAACGTGAATGCATCTTAGCCATTATGAACAATCCGGAGACATGTCACAGTTTCCGACTATTGGTTACAGTAATAGAAAGGAACCCTAACCAGTTAGTCTGCATCACTAACATATATATATATATATATATATATATATATATATATATATATATATATATATATATATATATATATATATATAGTCTACAAGGTAACAAGAAAATTAAGGAATCAATGTAGAACAAATTCAATTTAAATTCAATAGAATATGTTTTAATATAAATGAAATTTATTTCTGACGTTTACACAAATCACACAGATAAATTACCAATTAGAGAACAGAGAGAGAAAAATAAAAGAAATGCAAACTAAGAATGATATGTTTTTAGTTTTGTGATAAAGCGTTCCATTTTTAAAAGTGTTTAGTTCATGTCAAAATTATATTTAATAATGGAATATTATCACAAAGAACAATTTCATACGAATTTAATTATTCTAATGTGAAGATTTTTAATAAGAATAAAAACATCAAAGTTTATAATTAAGCAACTTGAATTGTTGTATTTGTTTTTTTGTGCAATGTATTACGTAGATTTTCAATTTCATTCTCTTGTAAGTGTACTTCAGCTGTAGTTTCAGCGAGCTTTAAAATAAAAAGAGAAAATTTTACTTAGTGATGTATATGTATTTTGGACATAGTATAATTAGTATAAGGAATTTCTAGAGATTTCTGAAATAATATGAAATGACATTCATTAAACAACTAATGAAAACCATAATGCACTGAAGCGCTGTTTTATTCTATTATGGGACTCCTTATCAGTACAAATTCAGTAGATTTTGATTCGATGGTTCAAAGACTATGAGTTTGCCACGAGAAATGAAGGTTCTGAGTTGCCTTATTGGTGGGGTTGTTGATGTACTCTGTTGATGGTTCCTGTACTGGGACGAAGCAGCTGTTCAGTGCTTTCTGGATTTCAGTGGTAGTCTGAGAAAGGTCAGTTCCCAATATAAACTATAAATTAAGTTGAATTATGTATACTTGCACATAAGGATAATAGTAATTTAAACCCAAATAATACCATACCATATCTAAGAGTATGTCAATTTTCAACTTTAACAAATTATTTTCTTCAATTAATTGATGATTTTCTTTTTTAATACGAAATGTTTCACGACCTAATTGAGTCGCATTTCCAGATTCATCATTTAACACTCCATTTTCTCCTTCTGAAATGAAAAATATTTATAGATAATGAAATAACTTGGATAAAATAACGGCATCACTCACAAAAGACTATTCCAAAAGATTAAGTGATACTAAACAAATTAAGCTACATTATTGATTTTCTTGTTAGATAATTTAATAACCGCTTTATTGGGGATGTTAAATTCTACATAGGATTTAGTAGATAGAAATTGAGTAACAGACTATATATTGTTTTATAAATTCACTTTTTATTCAGTTAAATTTCATATCAATTTCGTGTGATTTCTGTCCATTCAAATTTGAGTTGTTTCAGTGTCATCTTTCATTCACTTGACTTTGGTTCAGTATGACTAATTGCAGAAATGCTTTGTGATTGTGCGCTTACATAACAGCTATTTAATAATTTATGTAACTAATAATTATTAAATTACTCAGAATATAGCTGCATGACCCAGAGAAATACGATTTATCTTCTGAGGTCTTGTCCAATACATCTTCTTTACTCGAATCCTTTCTCTTCCATTGAGTGGGAGTTAATTGTTGAAGTGTTATGTACTAGTCGTCTGGTCTATCTCGTACGCGCTCGTAGTCAGAAACTTAAGCATTCCGAAACATAACGTGTATAGATCAAATCAAGTCGATAATACAAACCTTATAACTCATAAGTCGTCTGTATTCATCATTAGTAAATGGTAGTTGAAATGACTTGTGTATGATATATATGCTAAACAATACAACAAGAATTTATTTCAACTCCACTTTATCATTCATAAAACAGATTGTAATTATGTGAGAAATACAAGTTACTTTTGAAAAGTAATAATTTTTACTTTGGTCTGAACAGAACAACTAAAATTCTTTTTACTTTACATTTCAATAATAGTTGAGTATTAAAATGATTTCACATTAGATAACAGTGACTTTTAGTTAAAAATATTTTTTTTTAGAAAATCATAAACATATAAATATTTTTAGAAGGGGTTTGTGGAGATTTTAGAAATTTCACAGATTGAAATCATAAGTCGATTGAAGCTAGACCAGGTCTGTTGTGAGATATCAGCTCACTGAAGACAATGGTATACGGTGGCGCAACTTCGTGGATTGGTTGAAGTCTCACATTAACACCATTGGATGCCGACTCAGTGGTCTAGTTTGTTAAGCGCTTGGCGCGAGACTGATAGGTCCTGGGTTCGAACCTCGCGGGGTGCGGGATCGTGGATGCACACTGCTGAGGAGTCCCATACTAGGACGAAACGGCCTTAGAGTGCTTCCAGATTTTCCATGGTGGTCTAGCTTCAACTGACTCATGATTTCAATCTGTGATATAAATATTTCAAAAAAATATCCAGATAAATGAAATACGATAAATGTATATAGGGTAGAAGAAAAATACCGAAGGAAAACGGATAACAGTAACATACACAATAATATGGAGATTTAAAATTGTTATATAATAATCCAATGGAAACTAGGTTATGTGATATCACAAATTTAATATTGTTCAAATTAAATCCAATATTTTTAAGGATGAAAGAAAAAAGGTGAACACTAAACCTACTGAGTAAAATAGACTATTCTTGTTCATATCATTACCAGAAGTTTGATTTGATAATTTGGAATAAATTGAGCATTGGATAGATTGTTATAAATAAATCCATTAATATATTTATAATATCCCAAATGAGTGGAAAAATTAAATTTTCCGACGTTTCGTAACTCAGTGTAAGTCAAATTCTTAATAGAATAATTTTATTATAATTATAACTTATTCTCTGAAAAACTGGCTTACACTGAGTTACAAAACGTCAGAAAACCTAATTTTGCTATTCATTGGGATATTACAAATATATTTTTATTTATTTTTTCAATTATTTTAGTACAATAAATTTAATTGGAAATGGTCATTTGACAAAATTATCCAGCAATAACATTGAGTTCTTAATCTATGTATGAAAATTAAACGTTCTCATAAAAAAAATATATGTTACCGATTGTAATCTAATGACATACATTCAAGGGATAAGTCAACATATAACAATAATAGAGTTCTGGGAGTGTTGTCTACAGGAAATACATGTAAGAAAATTGCTTCTTTTTTATCACGTAGCATTAATATTACACGAAGCATAAGCAACCAGAAATATGAAGGCGTGTATGTATTAGAATTCTAGTGTGAGATTTACTACAGAGAGAGAATGAGAGTGCTTCATTGCAGAAACATTTCGTAAGATTCGAAATTAATGCTGTGGCTGTTTACAAATATAATTAAGTAGATTTGTGAGTAGAACAAAACATAATTTTGGTTTCAGTATATCTCCGTTCTACAATTGCACCTTACACATATGATGTTTATTCAATGTACTAAAAATATATATAAACAAGATTGTTAGTCAATACGACCTTAAACTTTCAAGAATGTCTTTTATTAAAACAAAACTAATTATTATTGATATATAAAAAAGTATTGCTTCATAAGTCCGGAAATATTTGCAAATATATCTTAAACATCTATCTTTTATTGTACTCATAGTAAATATGAAAAACGTACCAATGATCCACTGTCCATTACGGAATACAAGATCCCGCCCACTTAAACGTGTTCTAATTGGTCCAAAATCCATGCTGAACTCTTGACTGCGCGTAGTTGAATCTAGATGTGATAAATTTGTCATACTAGACGCTTTTCGAGCAGGAAACTTTGGCACATTGAATTTTCGTTGGAAAAGAGGCATTTTTTGATTACAAATAATTAACCAAAAAGCGGTTGACAACAGTGTTCGATTACCTTGAAAAATCAAGTTTTTTTATATTACAATATAGATTGCGTAAGTAATAGGAACGAGAAAAGATACTTTCAAAACAGTAGCGCAGTACTCTGTGAATACAATTCATGCTAAATTATGAACTATACTTATCTGTTGAAGGCTGAAAATATTACGCAATATTACACAGTAAGAAGAGGAAGTGTGGATTGACAATCTAGTGACTACATCAAGGAGACATATTCAGGCAATACTTCGGAAAACTTGATAACTAATTCTAAGACTAAATTTTTATGTTTGGCTTCGTATAAGACAAAACAAAGACTCAGTAATAAAAAAAATTGACAAATTAACGAAGGTACAGACAGAAATTAATTGAGTAATTGTTTTATTGACAACCACTTTACCGAAAGAATGCGAAATGTTCAAGAGTATCTTTGAGCATGTCACAATGATAAGTGTTAAATTTTATCCACAAACTCATATTTTATTGCTTGTATGACTGCCTAGGTGTTGGACAGTGTGAATACAATTCTTTAAATACGGTTCTTGTTTTCATTATGTGAATATTTTACAAAATACTGTTGAGATTTACATGCAAAAACTAGTTATTTCAAACACTATAAAATGTTACAGTTTACAAAATTTAATTATTTTTTAGATCATTTATACTGCATCAAAAAACAAAATTGTTTGTTGCATTACTGAATGACAGTTACCAAGGTCATGGACAGATTATTCATCAAGTTGTATTACCTACTATTGGGGTCAATGCTTCCGACAATTGAATTAATTAAGGTGTTTACTCATACTTTGCATAACGAAGTAGAATATTGACAACTACCTAGAATAATTTTATATGGATAGCTCATGAGAAAATCCTTTAACAGAAAAGGACTAATTTACATGGTTATTCTAACTGACATATCAAATTAAAATATTAGTTTTCAGAAGAAATGTTCTAAAGTAGTTAAAACAACAATATTCATATGTAATCGTCAAGTAAGATATTGGCTGGATTTGTCTATATCTATATTGTTCTCATTGAAACATGAAGCTAGTAACCATCCTCATGAACATTAGATTTTCATCTACCAAGCTGATAGATTATGAGGAATACCATTTGTTAAACAAGTATTCATCTTATTGAAAGTATTTATATATTTAAGACTGAATTGAATAATCACGTTAACATTCTGATTAATTGATTAGTGACTAAAACAAATGAACTCTTTTGTAAACTGAATACAATGAAAAGATATGCTGCTGATAAATAGTAGTCTTAAATTATAGATTTTGTATATTTTAAGTATCTTGTATGATATGTTGATGTCGGCGATCTAATTCCTTTAAAATTATGAATGGAAATTACATCGAATAGTACTAATATAATGAAATAAAATAAATTCATTATAAAAATGAAAGATAATATAATACAAACAATCATCATTGACAATGTTTTAGATTAAGAAAACAAAATTTCAAAAGAAAACAATTTATATTTTACATCATTTTTCAGTTAACAAATTGTAATTCATTAGGATGTAACAGCAAAAATAAAACAAGCAAAGAACTGAGCAAGTTCAAATCACAGGGAATCGGTCAGGAATGAATATATACATCGATTTGATGAGGAAAGGATTTTTCGTATTATTGTCCTTATTCATTCCACATAAGATGAGTAAATTGTTGTTTCAGTGATTGATGAAGAATTAGCAGTAGTCACCAAAAATAATCCAAAAATAAATTCTTTTACTTACAAGTAGTGATAATAGTAATAATAATGCACATTATCTTTAGACGGACGGAAGAAAAATTCTCAAAAGTAATTATTTTCTTGATGCAGTAAACGCAGTTGATCATTGATTTGTGTATGCAGTGTCTTTGCAAGTAGGATAGCTATAAGCTAAGAAAGAAACAGAAAAATTTAAGGAAGTGAAATAGAAAACGTATACAACTGTTAATAATAATTATATATATATAATTAGATGGATGGTAAAAATGTCCTGAAAAAACAAATAGTGCTGCAAACTTTGAAATACAAAACTGTGGCCAAATATTTGTTTAAAGTACCTGCTACCGAATTTGTTATTATTATCAAAATATAAAAGAGTCCTTAGCATAGTATCAGTCAGTCAGTCATCTACAACGTAGGACCAGGCATTGGTCCAAGTTGCCATACCTCATTAACACAGCAAGATGAATACCAAATTCATAGAAGTAGTTACTTCAATCGTAGTATACAATGAAAGTATAAAAATGTGAGTCATATGAAACATGAAAAATTCTAAACTAACGCAATAGAAGAAACCGAACAGCGATATATACATGAAAAAAATATATATATATAACAACAGACACAAATCAGAAGTATATATATACAGCATAAAACTGTCCTTGAGAAGCGTTAAAAAATAGTTTACTAAAATATACAACGGACCAATAGCGTTAAAGATTCTCCCAAGTAGGAAATACGACATGAATATGAAAAGAGCGCTTTTGGCGCGAAAACAAAGAAATTCAAACGTTCAAAATACAATTAGAAAATTAAGATATTTACCAAGGGAGTTCTGGAGATCCCCAACAAACGAGCAGGGTATCCCTGGACGATACTACGAGTAAGGGACGGTAAGTTAACATTTCAGAGGCATCAAGCTTTTCTACTTTTAACAAGACCAGAGCATCAAGATATTATAGCTAATACACAGTTAAATACGGTTGGGCGTAAATTTATTACACCAAAAACTACATCACAGATGGTTCGTTGATGTTTACGAACATTTTACACAATAAGACAACTCTATTCCTTAAGAATCTGTGCTAAAAATAAAAGAAACTAACAATCAATCATCTGCAAAGACATTTAGAAATATTAAAAGAAATCACGGAATCATTTAAATATTTTAAATCCAGGTATTATACCTTTCACATATGTATATATAATGGACTAACCTGAAACACAGCTACGCTAACAAACCCATAAGCGAAATAGACTATGTTGTTTTCTACTGAACTGATAAGAGCATTAACACATCCAGTTGTCCATACCATACGATTGGCTTCAGCAGTTGTTAATTTTTGTACACCAAATCCACACGATGTATTAATAATATTAACCTATGGTTGAGTGTAAGCATATCATTACAATTATTTCATAAATAGTCGATTTTAAGGCTGATATTTTATCATTATTATTTTTTCGATACTTAAATCTAGTAATAATTAATTCATTAACTTGTGTCTAGAATTTATCATGGACTGGTAAGAGCTGAATGATCAATAGTACAGTAAGCGAACTCTCACACAAGGGCATTTCTCTCGTGCTAGTTAGGGATCACTAATATTCAGTGATGCATAGCCACAACCACTCGTTAGAGAAATCAAACAAATGCTATGATGATAAGTTGTAGAGATTAATCCCTCTATATCTGAATTCAATAAATAATATCCTGTTAATTGAGTATTTACTCAGGTCAAATCTCCTAGTAGTATTATAAATTTACTCGAGATTATTCAGAAAATCAGTTGTAGGGATGGTGTATTTGAATGAAAATAAAGAGAATTTAGCGAAGAAAATTTTCATTTTGACAAAATCATTTACTTAATCTGTATATTCATATTTATAGCTTAAGTAAATGATTTTGTCAAAATGAAAATTTTCTTCGCTAAATTCTCTTTATTTTCATTCAAATACACCATCCCTACAACTGATTTTCTGAATAATCTCGAGTAAATTTATAATACCACTAGGAGATTTGACCTGAGTAAATACTCAATTAATAGGATATTATTTATTGAAGTCAGATATAGAGGGATTAATCTCTACAACTTATCATCATAACATTTGTTTGATTTCTTATTCAATGACACAATGGACAGTGTATTGTCAATAATTGATAGAATCCGTAAGCACACAGGGAAGCGAGTGTAAATATCAAAAGAATACATAAATACTTAAGAGTGTTAATCGATTGTTGATAAATTATTATTGATTGTTTGTGTTTACAGCTAATGAGAGAATAGATAAAGATTGATGTACAGACATTCGTCTAATCAAACTCACACAATTTTATATAGTAGGTCAAATGTCTAAATTACAGAAATTAGACAAATAATAAAAAATATTCTATGGCCTTAATATACTATACTTATTGTCAATATCATTTTATATTGATATAAGCACGTATAATAAACTGATAGTATCTCACTGATTGTAAGAACCGAATCAAGATAATAAATACAAGGACATAAAATTGGAGGGAGGGGAATAATAGTTTAAGGAGAATCCTGAAGTATGTGATGTATAAAGATCTACTTATGTGTAACAAGTTAGCACATGGTATTCTATAAAGAATTGTAGGTATTGTGGTTACTAGTGTACAGTGTATTTGTTTATCAGAAGACTCAAGTTCTATTCAATCTGATGTTGTGATACTTGTGTTTACATACTTTTTGAATAATACTTTGAATTTACTAAGTAATGTGGATCTTATTAATACACACACGAATGGTATTTTACTTACTGAAGTGTGTGTATGAAATGAAAGGTTTGATACTTCATTTTAAACATATTTTCAAAGTGAAAATCATGATGGAGGTTAGCTATATGAACGATATCTTAAAAATAATGAAAAGTATGCTCTTGATTTACGATTTTTGTCATCATAATGATGTACTGCAAGTGAGTTGTTTTGTTGTTTGTTTCGATGTGAATAGATTAAACCAATAGGAAAGATTAAAATGAATTTTTGACGATTTTCACTGCTACTATTGTATACACTTAAATAACGAGATTTGGATCTTCTTTGTAATGTGTATACTAACACATATAATTTAAAATGGTGGATGCAATTTGTAGCTTAGATGGATGATTTTGATAGAAATTCGTTTTTTTGTTGAAACAACATACTGACAAAGAGGTTTGTGGAAAAAGTAAAGTTGTTTTCTAGCGGAAGCCTGCACGCTGAACACTACTGAACTTTTCATTCCGCTGATAACCAAAGCAAAACTTAGAAAACGCACTTCATTCTTAAAGTTGATGAAGTAAAACACGACACATTCAAGTATTAAATCTACATACTACCTTCTAATGATAATAACTAATAACAACAATATTAGTATGACTATGGGATGTTAAAATTGAAAACTGATAAGTAATCTATTTGAAGTACAAATAATAAAATTTTTTCCAGTTATAGAAAGCTAAAAAAAATGCTTACACTGATATCATTCATTTGACGGCAACAAGAATATGGAACTCCACAAGCTTCAGGGCTTATATTAGACTTATCACATGAAAAGTATCGATTAGCGGTCCAATCAAGATATGACTTAGGTCCGCAACAATTAAGCTGTATGTAAATACACACATATATATATTGAAATATAATATTAAAAAACCTTTGACTAGACGATTACGTTTTCAAAAAATATTTAAAAAATAGTAAGAATGAATTACTAAAAACAAACGTGTGATATTGCTGCCATGAAGATGGAAATCTGAATCGTAAAGTATAAACATCCGATTAGGATTCCGATTTTATGAATTTCCGGGCTCATAATGTCACTGAAATATATTACAATATAAACCTGTATCAACTGTGCTTGTTCATATTGCTTCACCCTCATTCTCTCCAATTCAACAACTTCAGAAATATGGGTGATATGAGATGACAAAAGAGGCCTTTGTGTTTTTTTATTAGTCATTTTATGGGCCTATTATCCTTCATGATGTGATGTTTTTTATTGGATGATGAATGTGTTTTTTTTATAAACTTTACTAACCTTTATTACAATTGGTTTGAAATCCTACATAATTTAACGATACACCTTTTATCAATAAGTCTCATTTGCCGGATTTGCAATATTTCGGAGCGAGAAAATACTTAGAAACAGGAAAATATGGTAACAATGACAGTAAATGCTTGAAGTATTTTACTTTAAAATAGAATGATGATTCCATCGGTAGGAATAGTAAGCTAATTCCTTAGTAGCTTTTGAGGTGCCTGAATGTTCCTGTAGAAAATTATTTGTAAAGTGACAAGACTATAGACAGTCAAAACACTGAGTTATCTGCATTGTCAGTAACGTATGATTATGACATCTTAAATGAAAAGTATTTAAATAAATGAATGTGATTTAGCTTGGCGAGTATTTCTTAAAGTCCTTTAAATGTAGAAGATATTAAGTAACAAAGTACTTCGTAATTCCAAAACTATTCCAGGATTATAGAAACATTCTATTGTTGTCTAATTTATGGGACTTTGAGCTAAATAAATGGCCTCCCTAGAAATTTAGAAATACCATACTGTTTTTAGTTCTAAAGTAATTCAGTATATTGGAAGGAACTATGCAAAATGATCCGACAATAAATCCCCCTAACATTTCATTTTCATTACCGATAGCTTATCAAAACAATTAATTTATTAACTTTAAACACAATCACTCCAAAACCAAAACTTTAAACTCGAGATCATATAAATTAATTTACTGAACTTGATATAAGTCAACCAGATAGTGTAACAGAAGTCGAAGTGATTGTGGAATAATATGAAGTTAAAAATCATAGTAAGAATTGTAGACATTTTTGGTAAGAATATAAGTAGACATTAAGTCAGTCAGTCAGCTACATCATAGGACCAGGCACATATATGCATCGATCCAAGTTGCCACACCTCATTAGCACAGCGAGATGAACACCGGATTCATAGAAGCAATTAATTCAATGGTGGTAATATATAAAAGAAAGATTTTGTATAAGGATATAGTACAGGAAGAGAGAATTAGTTCATAGGAATAAAGATATGAAGCGACTTTAACCTATTAGTTTAAGGGAAGACAGAGAGTGTATACACCGACGCCATTGTGATCGATTCTGAGTCATGTCACACAGTCTGCAGTCATTGGTTACGATAGTCGCGCGGACCCCCAACCAAGTAGTCTGCATCTACCAACATGGCTAAGACTAGAAGTTAGTGACTTCAAGCGCCGATGCCACGTTTTGGTTTGACCGCCTCTAACTTCCTTCCAACCATCACCAACACTAGACAGCATTGCGCGTTGTGGTAATCGGTGTTAATGTATACATAACACGTAGCCCAACCATCTCAGTCGGTGAAGATTCACAACCTCACCAACTGATTTACCATCATTCCCTAAAACCCTGTGTCTAACCTCACTATTACTTACACAGTGATCCCAGCAGTATTTCTAAGGCATCTGTGGTCAAATACTAGTAGCTCACGAGTATCCTTCACTCTTAATGGCTACGTTTCGCAGCCGTAAAATAGAACAGAACGACTACCGCGCAGTATACTCGTCCCTTAGTTGACAGACGGATATGTCGCCTTCGCCCTAGGTGACGTAAGTTGGCAAAATCTAAACGAGCTTTTCGATTCCGTGCTGAGATTTCATCAGACACCAACCCATTAGGGCTGATCAGACTTCCAAGATAAGTGAAGTTGTCGACACGTTCGACTACTTTACTCCCTATCCTCAGTTTAGGTGTTGACGCAGACCAGGCCTGAAGCAACAACTTGCATTTAGAGGGGGAAAGGCGCATCCCAAACATTTTGGCATTGTTTCTCAGGGCTACCAAAAGACTGCATTTTGTCAGCATTTTCACCAAACAGGACTATATCATCCGCGTATTCTAAGTCGATAAGTGGACCTCCTGGTAGGAGATCAAGAGCGTTATCTCCATCAATAGGTCTATGATAAAGTTGAACAAAAATGGAGCAAGTGAACGGCCTTGAGGGACACTACTTCAGGTTACAAAAGCAGATGACAGTTCGTCATAAGCTCTCACTCGACTGGTAGTTTTCGAGTAAAGAACCTTCACAAGGTTTATGTACTTCTGAGGTACTCCTTTCAATGACAGACAGTGCTGCAGAAGCTCTCGGTCTGCGGAGTTGAATGCTGCTTTCAAGTTAAGGAATACCATGATTGTTGGACGCCGATAAGCATGCTTGTGTTCTGGAACCTGACGGATGGTGAATATGTGATCGGTGCAGCCACGACCAGGTCTGAAGCCAACCTGATTTTCTCGTGTTTGAAGTTCACAAGTCTTTGTTAGGCGCCCCACAATTATTGATGCTAGTATTTTAGATTATATGTTAGTCAAACTAATCTCTCTATGGTTGCCATAGGATGATTTTGACCCCTTCTTATATTTCGGGACAATAAGTGATTGCCACCAGTCAGATGGGATTACGCCCAATTCCTGGGTTTTAGCTAATATATTAGTCAACCTAATCGCTAAATCTGGATCACCAGCCTTAAAGTCCTCTGTAGCCAATCCATCTGGGCCAGATGCTTATCCTCGTTTCAGATTAGCTATAGCCTTTTGAACTTCAGCTGGAGTCGGGGGACCTACTTCAATGTTCTATTCACGATGTCTGGGAACCACGGATAGTTGTAGAGTAGGTAAAGGCCAGATAAACTGTTCTCTAAATTATTCCGCCTATCGTTCCAAACGTCTATATTATTATTATTATTATTATCATTATTATTATTACTATTATTACAATCATTATTATTTGAACACAAATACTGGTATAAGGGGGTACCAGATACATATGCGCCACACAAATCTCATTTGATTTGTGTGAGGGCTGTGATACTACCCAGGTGCCCAAACCGAAGTAGGTGGTTTTCTCAGGGGACCACACCCGGAGCCTTCGACCTAAAGGTCCGATTCACAAGACAGTGGAGCATCGTAAGGAGATGTTGTCCCATGGTAGCCGGTGACCAACGATTGGTTCATATACCATTTGTTCCATCAGGGTACTAGAGCCCTTGTGCACCATTGGTTTGGAACCAGGGTTTTCCAACTCCCCTAGGTGGACTCCCTATATCCACCAACCCGGTTAAAGCGCTGGACATTCGCTTTTCGTCCCAGGGCAACTGGGGGCTCCGAGATATTCTCACTTACACCTGGCCTCCTAATTCGTTTCTTTTATTAGTCTAATGAGCTGTCTTGTGTTACCTACAGTCGCCGTCTTTCCCATCTCTTTTGCTTTCGTTACCCATTTAAGTAAAGGTTTTTCTGAAGGGTGATGTACGTCTTTTTAGGACAGATTGCTCCACAAAGACCTCTGGATTGACAGAGTGGGGATAAGAAAGATAGTCACGGTTGGATATTGGCAAATATACTTGATGAAGAATAAATGCATGGTCTATAAATCCACAGTTAAAACATTAAATCAACATGATTTTCCTCGGTTTGGTGTTTTTGAGCTGGTTAGGTATTGTGTAGTCACGGAACTTATGAGCTTATAATGTATGTTAATTACATTGATTTTCACGGTGATTACCACACGAGTTTGTGTCCTTTTTTGGTCTCAAAGGATCAGAAATCAAAATCAGTTAGATGGAATTGAACCCAACTTCCAAATTCGAAAGACATTTCATTGGATCTAACTACATGTTTTGAACCAGGATTCGACAAAATATTTGGGTCTAATCCAATAGAACTTGGGAGAAAGGTGGCTATATTCTCTCCAAATTCCCTATGAGTAAGCTGTCTGAATTTATTCTTCTGTTCAGTTTGTTTGTGAATAGTGGACTACAGAAGCGTAAACGGAGGTCAATTAAAATGTTCCACTCAGTATGAGAATGGATAAGTAGTCTTACGTTCTGAGTTTCACTAACTGCTAACATTTAAGTGCAGTTCCTAGTGATAAATCTTAATCATTGTCTAATGTTGACTATTCCTGAAGCCTTATTCTATCGTTTCTAATATTTCACTCATCACTGAGATATTTAACGTAGGGCAGAAAATGGAAATCCTAATTTTATATTTGAAAACAAGAATCAATGAGAAACTCATGAAATAAAAGAGAAGCGCGTTAAGGATAACATGACTTAAGATCAGGCAGATAATAACACATGCCTAATTTATGGAAATGTAATAAGTTAATCACATTATTTTGAAAAAAAAATGCAACTCAACTCAATAAATACATTAATGAATAGTTTAAAATACCTCTTTTTGAATAAAGTCCATAAAGTTTGTTGTATCCTCAAATCCAATTTCTCTATATTGAATAACAAAAGTAGTTTTGATTAACTCTTCAAGCCTGTGGACAGTTGATTCACGGTACACAAAGAACAATACGCAGCAAACAACCTCTGTCAGAAAAAGCAACGTTAAAATGAAGTAATACTATAACGAGACAAAGTAGTATTATTGAATAGAATTTCTTACAAATCTCAGCAGACAAGTGTTTTCACGTAAAGATCCGACAAAACCAGCCAGTGAAACAAATAAGGTTATGACCCCAACGACCATACAAATTACGGTTAGGTTGAAAAGCCAGTGCAATGCAATAGTTTTAGATTTCCATGGTATACCTCCCGACTCACTAAATGCGATCACACCGAACACAAGAAACAATGTTCCAACAGCCTGAAAGTAAAACATAGATTTAGTTCCTAAAAGTACTAAGAACTTATAAAAACATAGATTTTAATAAGTAGTTATGACATAAAATCATATAGTCCGAAGTGTTAAAACTTATTACTAATCCGAAAATTCATAAAAAAGTAGGGCTAGAAGGTAACATTACCATATGGCCTAGTAGTCTTGAAATCAGACGTTTTGTAGAGATGTCCCAAATACGGAGATACCATCTATTAGCGTTAGTTTCCAATCTGAAACTCAAAACAAAGAGATTTCCCATTCTCGCGGAAATATAAAAAATCGCGAAGTACGTTACAGAGGTGAGCACAAGTTTGGTAAATGTTCATTCTGTGGTATATTTCATTGACGTAATTTATATGTCTTTCATGCCAGATGCCTTAAATGTGGTAAAATGGGACATATCTATTCGGTTTATAAAACTGCTACTCATTTAACCACTAAGAATTATGAACATTGTAGTTCGGCTTTCATTAAGTTGGGTGCTTCTCAGTCAGTCAGTAACAACACAGAACTTCGTACGTACGTACATCAGTTCGAGTTGCCATACCACATTAGCACAGAGATGCAGTGGTCGATTGAAATCCCGTAGTGGTAGAGGTAGCAAGAGTATAAGCAGTAATCGATAAGATTAGGGTTTGGAGATGTTATTTAAAGAGTATAATCCAGTGAAATAAATTTGGAAAGAGGAAAAAAGGGACATGAAGAATTCAGAAGATTAGAATTGGGGAGAGCACAGAGAGTGGATGCACCTGCGCCATTGCAAACGATTTTGAGCCATGTCATTCAGGGTCTCTAACCATCAGTTGCTATCATCTCGCGGTCCCCAACCAGGTAGTCTACACCTACCAACATGACTCAGTCCACTTGTCAGTGACTTCATGGAGTTGGGTGCTTCTAATTATTATTAATCTTTATCCACGATTTTGAAAGGTAATTGACAAATTTGGAAGCGATTATATTACCTACACTGGTTCATTTCATGACTTTATTTGTTGACACAGGCAATCCAGTTAACGGCAAACGTCCCAAACCAGATATGAAGCGACTAGTTTTACTGACAAATGTGCCATCGAAAAATATTACAAAACTACGTTCACTAGTGGGTACTCGTCAATATTATTCCCGTTTTATTCCTTATTTTTCTTGTCGGGTTGATTGTTTATTTCACATCTCGGTATCCAACTCATTTAAACGAGGTGAGGAACAACAGTCATGCCTACGAAGTCTACTCAAGTTTTTCGAAGTGATGCTGTTCTTCGAACTTACTCCCCTAGCGTACAATATGTGTTTATTACTGATGGGTAATGGTGAAGTTTTGGAGCACGAAGTTACACCTGTTATCTGTGTTTCACGCAAACTTACTGTTGCTGAGCAAGGTCATTCACAAACTCAGCGAGAGGCATTAGCTGTATTTTTGGCTTTTAAAAGGCTTCATATATATTTATTTGGAAAGAAATTCACTAGTGTTACAAATCATGAAGCTTTAAAGTTCATTTATCATCCTGAAAAATCCTTAGCACATTCGTCTGTTTGTTAGTGCAACCTTCGCCGGTGAGACGTCCAGATCTCATCATAAAAACTCTTTGACACCCTAAATGTATACTAAGTGCCATACGGAAAGGTTGGAATGCTAATCTGCAATGTAGACGTCCTATCTATTTTTCAAAGCGCGATGAGTAATCCACTACTCCTAACGGTATTTTGTGTTTACATGATTATGTTGTTGTTCTCTCATTACGTAAATCCGTCCTTAAAGGTTTTCATAGTGGAATAGTTGGATGTTGAGAAAATGAAATCCTTGGCAAGGTTCATATGTTGGTGCCGGATATAAGTGTAGATATGTCGTAAAGCAGGCAATTGTGGTGGATGTCATAAGTCGAAAAATCATCCTTCGAAGTGAACTCCATGGTCAGTATCGTTTGAGGCCTGGTAGGGAATTCATGCAGACCGTTGTGGTCCATTTCTCGGCAAATACTATGTGCTTGTTGTTACTGATTGTTTTTCTGAGTGGCCTGAATATTTTTCGTCATCGAATTCGGGCTCCATAATCCAATTGTTGAGAAAAGTGTCCGGTCCAGATGCAGTACCTATGATATTAGTGACTGATGATTAATCTTTCTGAGGACACAGTTACTGTCCCGTTGAAAGGTATACCCTGAAAATATCGGTTAACTGCTCGCAGACACTCTTGTTCTGGTGTTCAGGCAGACTGTTTTATCAGAACGTTAAAAACTGCTATTAATTTCATTAATGATACAACATTTGATGAACTGGCGAGGAGAGTAGATGTTTCTACTGCAACATAGAAATGATAAACATTCTGCAACGAGAGATTCCATCAAAGTTACTAAAAGGAGGTATTTCCCTTTGACTATGAGGTGTTTAGAGTCTGAAGAATTCACATATTACCGTGGCAATTAACTTAGACCAGCTACGGGGATTGTGACGAAGAATGTTGGAAAATCTATAGTTCAAATTCTAGATATAAATTATCTAAGTACACAACCTAAATGTTGATCAAATACGAACACAGAAACCACGTGAGTCTGTTCCGATTTCGGTTATTAATTCTAATACTACTGAATACATTCCAAATCATATGGAGTCTGCATCTGCTACAGTCTGACAGGCATACGATGAACCTAAGAATAAGAAATACAATCGATTACAAAAATCTGGATTCCCATTTAAGCAGTGGCGGATGTGGTATTCGTACGTACGAATGATTCTTTTGTGCTTGATTGCTCACTGATGACGAATTCTAAATATATGTTTATTTGTGTGTATCTAGTTCTGCCTGTCTTAAATTGCACTATTTCGGAATTATTAGTACATTAATTAGAATATTTCTAATTACCATAGATGCATACCTTTAAATAATGTATTATTATTATTTGGGCACAAATATTGGTATAAGAGGGTACCAGATACATATGCGCCACACAAATCTCATTTGATTTGTGTGAGGGTTGTGATACTACCCAGGTGCCCAAACCGAAGTAGGTGGTTTTCTCAGGGGACCACACCCGGAGCCTTCGACCTAAAGGTCCGATTCACAAGACAGTGGAGCATCGTAAGGAGATGTTGTCCCATGGTAGCCGGTGACCAACGATTGGTTCATATACCATTTGTTCCATCAGGGTACTAGAGCCCTTGTGCACCATTGGTTTGGAACCAGGGTTTTCCAACTCTCCTAAGTGGACTCCCTGTATCCACCAACCCGGTTAAAGCGCTGGACATTCGCTTTTCGTCCTCTCAATTCCGTAAACAGCACCCCCTCCACGAGAAGGTAGTGAGTAAGACTTCCCTAGCAGAGGCTACATACGCGTGGCCATGTGAGAGCATTTCGAGAGGGAGAGCAGACTCTCCCCACTATCGGCCGTACCAGGGCATTTGGGGCTAGGATAAACGAATAGTCATATTTAAACCCGAGCATTTTATTTCTATCAAATTTGTTGTATTGGAACATTTTATAGTACGGTACTAGCCTGAGTTTGGGATTATCATTTTCTACAAATTTACAACAATTTATCAACTTTATTACGCAGCACAGTAAAAGGGGAACGCTCTGGTAAAATATGTTCCTCTTACTAGACAACTATAATTTCTAAGACGGTAATTATTCTCCTTTCGTATGAATTTAATCAGTAGTCTGAGTTGAAAGTGGTTTTCACAAACTGAACCAGAGATAACTACATATATGTAATTTGTACAATTTTTAGCAGTGTCCCATGATCCATTCACAATTAAGTGACATGACCATCGCAGTTTCTATCCCACGCCTTTTTAACATATTTAAGTTAAATTTACCGGCGCATAAAATGCACTTACTAAGAAAATGAAGTTCGCCAAGCATAAAGAATACTTAACCCATTGGTTGATGTAAGATATTCTACCACCAAAACGTCGATGATACCTATGGCCCATTTAATGCCAAGAAAATGTATCAAAAACGCTGATATTTGGGAACCAGAATTGTTCAACAAGACAAGATCTGAAAATACAAAGAGAAAGTTCTCAACAGAGAATTTAGGTTTATAAACAGGAGGAAAATATGAGCGACCGGCATCAAATTCTGCAATATCTACATGTACAAGGACTTTTGTTGTTTATAAAACTCATCCTTAACAACCAAGAGCCTGATATGAGTATAGAGATGTTTGACGATTCAAATATCTTATGTGTACAAGAGGAATAAAGGGTCCGATAGGTTATGTCTTATTGCACTCCTTGCCTACCAGTACTGTACACACAACTGGCACGTTTTACCTCCGTGTTCAGCTGACGATGATATGTCATTCTAAAACACCACTTTCCACAGACATACTATTCATTTTACTTTTCCACTAAAGTGGATGATGTACATCATCAGACGTAATAAACCAAGCGTTCAAGACCGTTAACTACAGTACAACTCGCAACATATTTCGTTTATATTAAATAAGCCAACTTCATTACTTTTTAAGACGGCTGTAAATTATACGTTGAAACAATGCTACCAAGAGTCAGGTAAACAACACAGCCTTGAGACATTAAAGATTCCTCTCTAGTTTCCGATGTTATCAATGAACAATATCTTTGTTATGAACTAGTTTCAATTTCAATTAGGAAAGAATGGAAGCTTGGGTTGCTTGTGTTAATCCTTGTGACAGTGGTCTCTTAGTCTATCCAACTTTTTTAACTTAGTCAATAAATGGAGCTTCGGTCAGGTGTTGAGATAAGGATTTTCAGTAATTGATATCAATTGATATCGAATAATATTATTCGATCAGAAGGTCGATAATCCGCCGAGAAGTGGTTTGTTCCGCTCTCGTGGATTTTTTAGTGTCCTCACAAATTGTCTGCCTTGGAAGACAGGGGGACTGAGGCCTTGTTATTTGGAAATTTATTATTCGGTAATTTAAATACTGCGATCAAGTCACCACTAGTCTTTCTATTTGGCAAGGAAAATAAGTTTAGTTTAGCCAGCTTCTCTCCATACAGAAGCTATGCAATTCCAAAAATTACTTAGGCTTCGGTCTCTCGAACCTTCCCTTGCAGCTCATTTTTTTTAACCACGCGTTGACTGTGTATACAAAACTCGAGTTTACGACTCACGAACACTGCGTACAAATCAAAAACGTTTGAGTATCAACGTGGCTAAAAGCTTCATATATTGATCACAGGGTTCTCAAACCTTTGGCAGTCATTGTGCGAAATTCTGTAGTAGTTTTAACATATTGTCTAACGATGACTCTCAGGTCATTGTGTCTAGACAACAGGTAAATCGTTGTTATTCGATCTGTATATTTATGTACCTTGGAAGCTCATATTTATTAAATGCACCTGGAGCATTTATTGGCAACTAGCAGACCTCAGACCATTCAGGTAATTTATGAAGATCATTTTAAAGCTGTAAACTATCCCCTTCGCTTTTTTATTGTCATTCATATCTTCATCATACGACAAAACTAGTGGTATGAGAATGAGACGGTCATTAACATATGGGATGAGTTGTACTGTCCTCAGAGGTGTACCCTGAAGCACTCGACTGAGCACCGTTTATCTAGACAACTCATAGCAAAGCCGTACTCTTTGTTGATGCCTAACTACGGAACTTTTTGTCCATAAAGTAAAGTAGCAGCAAATAAATCCCCAAATTTTAAGCATAGCATGTCTTCTAGAAATTGCAGGAAATCTTGTGGTTTCCCAATCTTCGAATCGTCCGACTCTAGTAACGTCCCAGGAAACGTCTCAAACGACACGCATTGATGACAACCGTAGTCGGCGAACATAATAGTCAGTTGTACATCACTGGTGAGATGACGAAGTTTGCTATTTAATCCACACAGGCCTCTACGGAACATTCTAACGATCGTCTGCATGAACCGGTCTCCAACTCACAGGCAGACAATGGAAAACAGATCAGCATATAAGGTAAGCGATATGTGTATCTTAACGTGGGTTTACGTAAACCCATCCGCTGGGTCTTAGCTGTTGCAAATGTTTTGTGCCAGTCATCGGTATAGACCTACTACAACACCATAACCTACTCATCAACACGCACAAATGGGGGTTAGTAAAATAAAACACAAATTTATCTGTTTGTGTGACTTCTTTTTACGGTTGTAGATTGTCCTCAGTCATAGTACGGCACACGATCGATCCATGCTAACAATATATACTCTATAAGTACCTCAATCCATTCCAAACGCGACCAAAGTCACCATGTGTAACCAGCAACCAATGTGCAACACATCACATCATGAATAAAAGCTCACCTGTATTCTCGAAAGCGCGTCAACCAGCTCTAGAAATTTTGAGGTTGGCTAAAGACGAATTCGACCAAAAGATAGGCTTCGGAATCATCCGGCCATTGAATAGTCCATGAACATTCTCCTTGTACAATATTCCTATAGAGAACAGCATCGATTGGCATCCAACTAGTGACTTTCGGTGACTGAATACGAAAACCACTCCAGGTCGTCACCCGTAGCCACACAATCACCGTTTGACAGGTACCTTGAAGGTAAAGCTATTTTCTTGAGAATCGATCTGGTGTATATCATATAACCAAACTCCAATGGTTGCAGACGACATTCCTAAAACTGCTATCCTCACATCCGTCGGATTCTACAAATTTTCGCGCATGCCTTTCAGCTAAGAAATGTTGTGAAACTTTACAGGGATTCATCGACAACGTCTTTCGAGGTCTCAGTTTCGTACACGCGTATGTTGATGACTGTTTGATTGCAAGTCCGGACAGAGAATCTCCCCTCCAGCATGTGGGCCTTGTTTCCGAACGACTCCAAAAAGACGGCAATATTGTAAACATTCACAAATTTCAAATTGGAACCGAGTCCCTAGATTTTCTCGGACACACTAGTGATGCTCAAGACATCCGACATGTGAAAAGCAAAGAGACTGTCATTCTGGATTATTTGGAAACCACCACAGTCAAGCAACTATGCATGTTTAACGGCCTAGTTAGTTTACATCGACGGTTCACACTAAGAATAGCACGTCTCTCATGGGACCCTCAACTGACCGACTTCGTGGAAATGCAGAACTCATCAATTTGGATAACATCGCGAATGAAGCGTTCTACACGTCAAGGAAATTACCGCAAAAGCAGCTGTACTCGCACGCCAGGATGTCAATGCACTCTCTAGTTTCTCAGTAGATGCATCCGAATCGGCGAATGGGGGAGTTTTACAACAATAGGTGAACAACAGCTGGCAACCTTCGGAATTCTTCTCTAGACGATTACTAGACACTGAGCCGAGGCACAGCACTTTGGGTTGGGGACCTCTAGCCATGTGTCGTGCTGCACGGCATATTCAACACCCCATTGAATACCGAGAATTCACTTTGTTCACCGACAACAACCTTCCGCTTTCTCTCCTAGCTGATCTTCGGATAAGTTCTCACATCTAAAGTCTCGATAGCTGGACTACATTTCGCAATTCATTCCAGTCAAACAACACGTTTCTGAGGCAAATGATGCAATGACAGACGCCTTGTCATGTGTAGCCTACTTGGATAGTTTCCAAGAGATCGACCTACTTAAACTCGCCCAGCCTGAGAAGTAAGGCTCCGATCTTCAACAACAATCTTCGGCAACCCTAAAACTGCGTATTAAACATATGAAAACAGGTGGGAAAATGAGGGAGGGGTATGCTCCTGTGTAAGCTGCCATAAATCTAAGGTGGTTAGATACGTTAAATATCCCTTAAGTTTTTTTGAAACTCCCGATGCTTGTTTCGACCATGTTCATCTTGATCCGGCAGGACCTTTACCAAATTCGAATGGATGATCTTACCTCTTGACGTGTATGGATCACTGCACACGATGGCTGGAAGCAGTACTCCTCAAGGACATTGCTTCTGGAACAGTGGCCTGCACCTTCGTCGAACGATGGGGGACAAACTTCGACTGCCATTCAACTATTATTACAGACTTTGGACTCCTGTTCGAACTAGACTTTTCCGTTGTCTTATCACATTACTAGGAATCACATGATTCTGAATAACTGCCTTTCACCCACAGACAAACAGGTTGGTAGAACGATTTCCCTGATAGTTAAAAGTCTCAATTTCGAATGCAATTGTTTCAAAGTGAACAGACGCTCTCCCAATCATGTTACCTAGTTTCCGCAATTCAATAAATGCTGACACTGAATACACTGCAGCACAACTAATTTTCGGAATGACACTTTGACTTTCCAGAGAATTCATAGATTCTTCATCTTCTCCGATGGATATGGATTTAAACTCTTAAACGAACAGGCTTACAAACATGATGCGTTCTGTTAAACTTGTAACTCGACCTCAGTCAATCGATATCTTAGTTGGAGCTGCCCTACGATATAGTGCACACATTTTCATACTTCGCGACTCATTTCCATGACTTTGAAATGGCATACGAAGGACACTTAAAATTTCTTCAGAGTGAACTTAAGTACTGTATCATCGATAAAAAAGTAATCAACTATGGCTTCAGCATCGGTCGTCTGAAGGCCGCTTATTTAGAAGGAAACTTTTATCATGTCAGGTTTCATCCAATTACGATGCCTTCTCCGTTAACCGAAATTCACGACGAAACTTCGCTTGTATCAGACGAACTGCCTAAAACAAAATGATCTGGAAGAAGTGGTAGGTTTCTGGAACAATTAAATTATTACTGCGCGTGGGATACTACATGACATCTTGTTTTATCTCGACCGTTTGCATTATTGTGTCAAAAAACCAAAAACAGGCTTTAGTTTTTCATATAATAATAATTTATCCTCAAATAAAAGTCTGTTACATGGGGCATGCCAGTTTACAAGCAAAATCATATTGTTAGGGAAGATACAGTTTTCACTGTGGTATGTTACTCAGTTTGATATTTTATAAGGTACGTTGATCGTAAAAGTATGGGGGACAATACTCTCCACGTAGGAATGCAAACAATATTAATAAGACCCGTATTGTTAATACGATAGTTGGCGCGCTTTACCGAGGTCACTTTACGACATGCAATTGATAGTCGGTGGTAAATCTGAGAGAGAGCTTCTATAAACCGTGACATTATATCCCTCTGAAATATCTGAGGATCAGATGGCTCAGGACGAACTTACCCAGTCCGTATGCGTTATCGGTGGCATATCGTGACAGGGCTGAAAAAGGGAGTAAGAAAAAGAAAGGACGAGAAGAGAAGCAGACAATGTTTATGCATATCGAGTCATTTGTGGTGAAATAGTGAAGGTATGACTACCTAGTCTAATTTTCCATTATTAAGATTCTTTTCAAGCAAGAGTATTCCAGTAGGTTGAAGAAAACTGGTGTAAATATGGTATGAATAGACAAAGAACTGTATACAAGGAGGTGGTTCAAAAAGAAGCTGAAAACATAAGGTTATGTGTAATTATAAAATACAGTGTTGGTAACAGTATTCTAATAAACTAATGGCTATCTCGCTTTTTCGTCGGATCTATTTCAGCCCATTTTTATTTTTATTGATTTTATAGGGTCATCAGCAGGCTTCGTTTCATTACTCAGTAGGAAGCAAAACCAATTCAACGCCACAAACACG